TGTGAACCTAATTTAGGTTCATGTGAACCTAATTTAGGTTCATTTGAACCCCGTTTAATTTTAATGTTTGTTTAATTTTCCCAATCCCCCATGCACAAATATCAAAAAAATAACGTTAAACGAAAGTTTAAATTCAAACGGCCTAATTATAACTAAACGAATAAACCCATAATTGAAATCTAAATTTGTAATATCATCCTCTGTTCTGTAAACAATAATGATCCAGTTTATAAGTAAAAGAAGAAACCCAAATCCCCAAATTGCCGTTGCGACGATAAGTGCTTGTCGAAACGACGCATAAGTTCGCCAATATCTTTCACAACGCTCAGGAATAGGTTCATCTATTGTTAAACCTCTATATGGTCCTATATTGTAATTTTTACTACAATAAAAGAAGAAAGGTCGCATCTTAAATGATCCAATTTTGATCGGAATTAATGTAATAACAAGTATTAGACCGATTACACCAAATATAAAGGATCTTTGTAATAAATAAAAATTTGAAACATTTTGAAAGAATATCAATAAAAATCCAGAAACAAATCCGATTATGCTAATCATTCCTATAACATCGAATTTTTTGAAAAAGATAAAATTAACAAGCATTGAAATAATTTGTGGGGTAATTGATACAACTAATAGCAAACTAGTTGATAAACTTTTCAAAAGAATAAAATAAAGGATGAGTGGTACATGAATATTGATTATTATAGTTATTAAAGCTCGTAATTGCATCATTACTCTACGCTTTAAGGGTATATCAGTATATTCAGTTAGAGATGGTTCTTTATCTGTTTGTTTTGATTCATTATCGTTGAGGTGTGACATTCTATTATTGATGAGTATAATAAATTTGGCTTTGAAAAAAATATAATTGCAAAATCTGAGATACGGGGATATCCAGTTGTACTGCAAAAAAATCTAGTGCTTGTATTCAAATATACTATATTTATATATTCCGAATATATAAAGTTTTATATTCGAATGTGTTATTTTTTATATTCACAAATAACTATGAAATTCATAATTATTTATTCATAGTTGTTTATGAATATTCATAATTATTTATTCATAGTTGTTTATGAATATTCATAATTATTTGAATATAAAGTGCACCCTTGCGTCAGATGACTCCTGGCCTGAGTTAGAATTAGGGTTAGGGTAAAATAACGATATAATTTAGGCCAATTATTGCCGACATTTAATGCTTGTCATCAGATATTCATCTCATGCGTTATTCTGAGGCACAGTATTCACAGCATTCATAACGACATTATTTGTAAATATTCAAAATTTTAAATTGCGTTTTTCTTTAGAAAATATTTATGAATATTTACATGAATATTTGAATATATATTAGGATTTATGAATATAGCATTTAAACAACACAATTTTAAAAAACCATCTCAGTTAAGTGTCGGGCACTAGATTTAATTGTACCGTATTACTTACTTAAAAGAAAATATGTTTTAATACTTCGATATTCAAGAAAACTTGGAATTAGAGCTATGCACATAAAGTAACGTTTGAAGAAATTAGCAGTATTCTCAGTTATTGCTTTATATCTATTTTCACTTGATACTAGGTTATTACGGCGAAACAATCAAAGGATAATAAACTTTAGAAAATGCTACTTGTTTAAGTAATAGATGACTATAAATGGCAA